TAACAGAAAACAAGCCATTACGGCAGCTAACTGCTTATAGCCATGGGAATTTGGCTTTGATTCCCACTGGGTTCGAGGTTCTATATTCTTTATATATGCTTTCATGATTGTTCTGCTTTTTCCTGCATTAAAATAAAAAAAAAAAAAAACACGTGGTCGGCCATGCAGCCACTAAAGTCCAAAAAGGCCAGTGTCAACACCAATTCAGAGATGATTTGAGGATCTACAGCCGAGTGATACACAAATAAGATACATTTTTGTTAATAGTTTAGAGACTTGAATGCATTTTTAGGATTTAACTCCTGGGGTTAGTGTAGACATGTACACGTTTTGGACAGAGTTTTCTGATTGGCCAGAAAACAGTCACGTGTCCGATTTAGTTTCATTTTGAACATAATTCGGATGATCTGAAATTTTGTTAAAAGAACACTCGGATTGGTTTGCATGCGGCCTCATTGGAATTCGGATATTCAAATTCACATAGTTTCATCCGAATTTGCATTTGGAACAAAACAAAACTTACATGTCTAGTTTAGTGTCACTTTAACTGTCATATCACTGCCACTAATGCAGCCTATCCCCTGCCAATAGCCCACCGTTAAGGACTGCTGCTCTCTTACGATAGTAGTGATTTCACTGCAGCGGACTGCAAATTACACCTGTTGAGTCAGACCAATAGCTCTGCAATCTGCAAAGTGCATGCTCCCTGCTGATTGCTGATTTATTGGTTTGACTCAGCAGGGGGAGTGTTGGACCTCTGCAGCAAAATCTCTGCTCTCAAAAGAGGGTGGTGGTCTATAACCATGGGCTGTTGGTAGGGGAATGGCTATATTAGTGACCATAGGGTATCCTTAAACTGCATGATAGGTAAGACATTGAAAACCTGCAATTTTGGTGCAAATTGGAATTATCGGTGGAATTTTGTAAAAGAGTTCACTTGGGCTTTGAATTATTGTTCAGGGTAGGAGGATATATATATATAGTTAGTTAATAATTTTTTTTTATTTGTGTTAAATATATAAATGGTAAATTTACAGCTAACCCATACTTTGCCCATGCAGGACACAGCAACACATCTGTTTTAATGGAAGTTTCTGTCTTTCATACTCTGTCCTTCTGGTGTATTTTAAACATGGGCTCTTTGAGAGAAGTATTAAGTGAGTAACAGCACATTTCACCCAAATACTTTTTGGGGGTTATAAGCCCTTATTATACTCCACCACTCGCCAATTAAAATTTCCCCAATTTAAATTTAGTTTTCCCCTCTGTGTCCCTTTGGGAGCAGCCAGAATAGGAAGTGTAGAAGATCTCTCCAAAGTAAAGAAAATCCCCCCATAGACAGTTGTCACTGAAACAAGTGTCCCCATTGGGAGATTTCTCCTCATTTTCTGACCTAGTGACAACTCATCAGGACAAAAAATAATTAACATTGAACCTCCCCAGAAAAGACAGAGCCAGGGCAGCATGGTGGCTTAGTGGTTAACACTTCTACCTTACAACACTGGGGTGCTCCATTTGAGTCCCAGTCAGAACACCACCTGCATGGAGTTTGTACTCTCTGGGCTTTCATGGGTGTCCTCCCGGTACTCGGACTATCTCCCACACTCCAAAGTCATGCAGGTAATTAGCTCTTGGGTTAAATATTCTATGGAGCCACCCAAGATGACTGTTAGCCCGCTCCAAAAGCAGATAAAAATGTGTTGAGTCCCCAAGAGGTAAATAATAATAAGCAATAAAAAAAAGATCATGAAAGAGGTTCTAACCCTTCCCTATTCTATCAGAAAACTATCCGGGTTTAAATACACTTTAAAGTGAACTTGCCATGAGAAAAATATGGAGACTACCATACCTGATGTCTTGCAAATGGGCATTACTTGGTTGTTATGCTGATCCATTGGGTTTACTTTGAGTCTTTGACCTGGGTGCAGTCACAGCAAACTGACAATACATCTAGAGCAGCGGTTTCCAAACTTGGGTACAGGTACCCCCAGGGACACTTGGCAGTACATTTAGGAGTACCACTTTTGCAATGGTGGAAAAAAGCTGTAGCAGTGGCAAGTCAGGGGCTACATATGTGCAAAAGGTATGTAAGAGTGATCCCATGGCTACATTTTCCAACACTCATTTTATAGTTCCGGCTGCCACCAACTTTACTTCTTTTAGGTGCAAGAAGTCCTAGATCCACGGAATCCAGGGTAACGGACCACACCCCAAAGAGACCCCAAGATAACACTGGACACACCACTGGAATATGGTATACCCCAAAGAGTCCCCCACACCAGCCTCCCTGCTCCTTCCTTCATCCCACTGACACAGAGGTATTTGAGCTCCTCCTTCTGTTTGCACAGTTTGGCTTCATCTACCATTCTTCGCGGCATGCTACATGGTTCTCTATGAGCCCCACTCCCTGTTCCATCCCTACTGAAGAGTATAGTTTATATAAATGAACTGCCAGGTGATACACGTGTAAAAAAAGTTTGGGAACCACTGATCTAGAGGAGCATCACTTCAGACTGGCAACTAGCATTTTCAGAAGGAAAGGTCAACAATGGTAAACTTAATTCTCCTCAAGACATGTTTCTTTGAAAAATACCAAGCCTGGAGTATTGCTTTAACTCCTCTGGAAAGGACATGGGGAGAGGTAAAGCAATGTTTTCTATATTTCCCTTTTCTGCAGTTCTTCTTGTCTTTTGGGGACCTTCTCTGCTGAAGTGGCTGACCGAGCAGCTGAGGAGGAGCTTATGAATCCTTTCATTAACCATCCCCATTGTATCGCTGCCCCAGATTTGTGTGTTACATGTGGTATTCTCTTTAAAATATGCATCCCTTTGTCTACGTAACGTCTAAATGACTAAAATATTAATCACAGGTTTTCTGAAAATAATGATCGCCTCTAATAATGGTATGTTGATGCTTTCATTTTAATCTCACATTAATAATAGAAAACGGAAACTCGGAGATCTTAGAAGTTTTGTCTCAGTAGCCTGGGTGAATCACTCTCACTTACCCTCCATGTGAATAACACGAGGGGCTGACACTCCTGAAAACAGGCCTGCAAAAAAGAGAAAATATGCTATGACATTTCCTTCCTCCCCCAGAGGAGTAACTGCCACTAACCAAAGTTATTTTCATGAAAGCTCTTTTGCTTTAGATGCAGAATATTAAGAGAGCAAAACACTTTAGGACACAGTCTTGTCACCAGATGTTCTTTGCCTCTAATGTATTTGTTAAGCGGTGTTCTTTTTAAATAGGTCATGTACAGTTTTTCTTTTCCATTGTGCCAAGGATGTCAACACATTCTTAATTCAAACTTAATAATACAAAGGGATAACACCCAAATTTGTCAATTTCAGTGGTCATCTCTCTTTCTTTTAAATTTTTATTTTAACTGTTAAAAATGTGAGACTTACCAAATGATTTTGGGAGCAAATATGGTTTATTTAGGGGCTGAGGTTTATTGAAGACCTAGTTAGAATTTTAAAAACTCCTTTCGTCATTAAACCATATTCTTATGAATTTGGCTTTTCCAGATGATCCTGAAATGTCATTATCTATCCATTTGTCAAAAACTGTTACAATCTATCTATGGAGTTGAGTCAGCTTTTATCATTCGCCGTGTCTTGTAAGTGCACTGTCCAGATTATTGTGACACTAAACTCAGGTGTTGAATCTACAAGAATGCATTCAAGTACCTTAGCTAATAACAAAAATGTATCTTATTTGTGTATCACTCGGCTGTAGATCCTCAAATCATCTCTGAATTGGTGCTGACACTGGCCATCCTTCTGGAGGGTGACTACTTTTGTTCCCCTTGGTCCCTGTGTGTGTTGTAAAGTAGCCAACGCTCCAAGCTCACTTCCGTAATGGACTACAATATCATGTTCACTTTACTCATTTGTATTGAGATTGTAGTCTATCATGTGAGCGAGCTTGGAGCGGTGACTGCTTTACAACACTCAGGCAGCATGAGGGAACAGAAGTAGCCATAATCCAGAAGGAAGGACAGTAGCAGCACCAATTCGGAGATAATTTGAGGATCTACAGCCGAGTGATACACAAATAAGATACATTGTTGCTAACAGTTAGTGTACTTGACAACTACCACCATTTTATTCTATAGGGTCTTGGCATTCAGAAAATATATAATGTTGGGGGGTTTTACGTCATTTTCAGGCCTAAAATGTGGAATATAACATGGGTGCAAAAATTGAAAAAAGGGCCTCAGTCATGAAGGGGTTAAAGATTTAACTCTCTTTTAACTCACTAGTGTCACTTTAACTTTCCATCAGTCTGACTTGGTTTGATCTGTGATTGGCTGCTTTCCTATAGTAGAAGGCAAATGCAAGGTCGAAGAAAATAAAATATGTAACACAACTTCACTCAAGAGGGTTGATTTACTGGGCAATTAGGCCATTCACATTACAAGAGAATGTTCCTGTAGTTTAGTGAATGTGGTGAACATTCACTCTGCAAAGAATACCCAATCATGAGCAAAGAAGAGAAAACAAAACAAAAAACGTTGTGGTTTTGCTTAATTGGATGATGGAAGTCAGCAGGGCAGAGCTTCTTTCTCTTAGCTAAGGGAAAATGTCCTCGCAAAGTGAAAAGCCTATTTGCCTCTAGTAAATGAACACCAAAATGTCTAACTGTCATCAGTTTGCTAACTAGTACATTTAGGGTGGAGTGGGACAGAGTTTTAAATACATTTGATTGTTCTTGCTCGGTTAGACCATTGAGGAGCGCTCATCCCATAAAAGCAACAACAATTCTAGTTCAGCTGATAACTCAACCTTGGATCATCACAGACATGCTAGGTTGGGAAGTGGTAATCATGATACAGTGCAGAAAAGAGGAAAATAGGCAGTCAGAATCAATTGCTAGCCCCTTCCACTCAAAATAAAAGAATACAATTGATATGAGTTTTACATCTTTTCCACACTTTAAGGTCTCTTAAGTTTTGACTTTGTTTGCCTTATTCTGAATGTGTTTTTTTGTTGCAGATTTCTCGCCACCGAAGGAATCATTCTCAACACTACGTGACTGAGAACAGAATTTCTAAAGATATCCTAGTAAGTGAGCCTTTCCTTTTACCAAATATATAAAGATATTAATACCTCTTTTTTTTCTTCCCGAATATGTTTTTTAAAGGTTTTAACAGTTATGCAAAACAATACTAATTAAAAAAAATGAGGTGTATAGACAGAAATCAAAATAAGAAAAATGAGGGGGAATACATAATATCATACTGTAAATTAATTTGATAACTGCTAAGTATTAGTAACTTTTTATTTGCAAGATAGTGGGATCCAGCATATCCTTTTTTTTTGAGCAACAACTGTTTTAGGCTTAAGTGACGCTAAATGCAGCAATTAAATCTTAAAAATGCATTCAAATACCTGAACTATTAACAAAAATGTATCTTATTTGTGTATCACTCGGCTGTGGATCCCCAAATCATCTCTGAATTCATACTGACTCTGTTTTTCCTTCTGGGGGGGGGGCTACTTTTGTTCACCATGGTCCCTGTGTGTGTTGTAAAGTGGTCACCGCTCCAAGCTCACTCCGGTGATAGACTACAATCTCACATTTAGTTCACTCATTTGTATTGAGATTGTAGTCCATCACGGGAGTGAGCTTGGAGCAGTGACTACTTTACAACCCACACAGGGACCATGGGGAACAAAAGTAGCCACCCTCCAGATGGTAGGACAGTGTCAGCATCAATCCACACATAAGATATATCTTTGTTAATATATCTTTGTTAATGGTTAAGGTACCTGAATGCATATTTAAGGTCACTTTTAAAATCACTTTAAAAGCACCACTGTTTGTATTATGCACAGCTTGACTTTTGGCAAAACTAGACACTACCTTGTCCATAGAATCTGTGGTCACTTAGCTAGCCTGCTAATATCTTGGTACACCTACTGCATTGTCACAGTCAGGTAAATATGAAATGTTGCTTATTAACATTATGTATTCTTATTTCAACCAGTTAGTGGAGCGTCAGGCACCTTTTCATCAATTTATAAGCTTCTCCTTGCCTTTTGTTTTAAAACGCCCATTGTCTACCGAGCTCAAAAACTCAAACTGAGATTTACACACACTCAACACTATAGCCTCTATTATACTCCTCTTTCCTCTATCATGCTCTATCCAAGGTTTCAGGTTTGGAGGTTGGATTAAAAAAAAATCCTGTTTAAAGTAGGAGGTAATAGCAAAGGATCCTGCAATTTATTTTCATTCATAAGGGAGAAGTATTGATTGTGAGGAGCAAATGTAGGTGAAAAAAATAAATATAGATTTATTCAGACAGGGTCAAGGTAAATTAAATTTACTCCCAATATCGACTTGCAATTGTCACTTCTTTAGGAAATGTGCATTTGCAGTCTAACAACAACAGATATAACAGAAAAAAATTCCTATAAATATAAAAAGTTCATATTCCAGTAGACAGCTTAAGGATTTAGAACAATAGAGAGTGCAAACATTGTTATGTCGAATAAGACATCCAGAATCCAGGGGGAAGGAAGGGTAAAAGGGGATTCAAAAAAAATTATGTAACAAAATAATATAAAATTATATACACAAGTCATATACAAAGAGGAAGTACAAGTAACAGCATTTATATTCAGTAATATCAGAGCAATTATTTTTACAGTATTCATATTACAATCAGAAAAAGGCATGTGAACTGTGTTATATATATATATACCCCATGGAGAATGGCAGACCTGTAGGCTGCATACAAGTGATCTCGGCGACATTGCCGGGATCACTTGTATAAAACAAGCGGCTTCTTCCCTGCTGTACATTTAGCTCTGCTTGCCCAAAGCAGGGCTAAGTGTAGATAACAACTACCCGCCCGGAGCCCGGGATTGCATGTCCCAGTCATCGGGAGATGGGAATTCCACACCCCTGCTGCCCCTCTACTCCCTGCTGCCCCAAGGTCGGGCCATGGTTGGCCCTGTGGGAAATCCGGCCCTGCTTAAACCATCATATGCCATCCGAGTACCTAAGAGCAGTAAAGTCAAGTACTCCCGTGACAGGAGTACTTCAGTCAAAAATTACCCTTTGGAATATCAGCGTCCTGCTGCCAAAGGAAAATTAGCCTAAGTTACAACACAGCAAAAGTATCTCCCTTTCGGGCACAGTCTCGCTTAATAAAATGTAGGCAGCCACACCATGAGCTATGTCTCCTTGAGCTATTGATCTCTGTACCCAGCAGGCTTTTTGCCCCCGCTCATAAAGAGTCAGACAAAGACATTTGCAAAGGTGCAGGGAGCTCCACCTGCTGGCTGGAACAAGGACTGCATCATTTATATTTTCAGTTTACCTTCTTAAACTATATTTGTAATAAATGCAGACAATATGGCTGATTTGCTAGGGAAGCAGAGCACGTTCACTTTGCAAGGCAATTTTCACATAGCTTAGTGAAGGCGAATGATTTCCATCCAATCATGTGCAAGGATTTTTATTTTATTTTTTAAATATGAAAACAAATAAAAATAAATATGATTTTTGCTTGCCCATGATTGGATGATGGAACTCAGCACTACTTCACATCATTATTATTAATATTATTTATTATTATTATACAGGATTTCTATAGCTCCAACAGTTTGTGCAGCACTTTACTATATAAGGAAGACATTACAATACAAGATGGTAAGGAGGACCATCATTCACTAAGCTAAGTGAAACTTTGCTTGCAAAGCTAACATGCAGTACCCCTTTAGTGAATCAGCCACAATATGTACAAACTTGCTATACACATACGTCACACATTACTTGCAAACTTACTAGCATAAGAGAATAAAATTGTATTGTATGTGTGAACAACACACCCAAAATTACCTCCTGCAGTGTGTGAAGTTTTCAGGTTGTGGTATGGACATTAGTGTGCAAGCTTCTTTGCCTGACATTAATGGTCCCATGCACTCCATAGAGCCCTGCTGAATCTGTTGGCACTTTATAAATGACTGCAATAAATAATGTTATTCAGAGATGCCGTCACTCTAATTATGCAAATGAATTCCTCAGCCCGAGTTCGTTAGATTACTAGAAACAATTGCAACTGTTCCTCCTGTGTCCTTTGCATCTAATTGTTTGAGTGAAACGCTATCTGCTCGCCCGCGGATGTTTTTTCCTGGTTATTTAGTTAACCTTCCTTCAGCTGGAGAGATGCAAGAAGGGCAACAATTGAAAGGAATGATGGAAATTCTTCCAGGCAGGTTGAGCGCGGCACGGAGAAGAACACGGCAGTAACATGTGCAGATTACTGACAATTCGAGCATCTGTCTAATGAAGCTCTGTGAGGCTATTTTGATACATTTAGACTCTAATACAGGGGAACAAGACATGAACTGCCTTCCATAAAAAAAAGTGCGAATGTATCTGCAGGCGAAGGAACGGAAATAAAAAGAAGTATTTAGTGATAGTTTGCAACTCTCATCTGGAACGTTGTAAGTTTGTTCTTCGTGTGAGTTTTGAAGACCGCATGCTAAGCCCCTTGAGACAGTAGTCCACTCCTTATGTACTGCAGAGAAACAATGATGGTATAGGTTGGTGTTCCTCTTCAATAGGGGAGTAGAACATTTTTCAGGAGGTAATTATTCTGTGGTATTGTAAAGAATATCTGAATGTAATTTGTAATGGAAACCTTTCCTAAGAGAAACATTAAACAGGCATTTTTTTACTTCTCATATATCTGCCTTACTGATATCCTGACCCTCCTGTTCCAGCTCTATGGGTATTGGACCAGCAGATACGGACGCTGGACTTTGCTGATCTGCATACATGTGTTGAAAGCATATATACACATACATATATACAGGGCTTGAAAAATGTTAGCGTGTCTCACCAGTCAGTCTAAAATGTCACCAGTCAGCATGACCGGACTATAGCCTGTTTTCCCTACCTTATGTTATAAAACATTCATTCCTATGCATATTGTTTATAAAATATAAAAGACGGGGTCACGTAAGGTAAATAGACACCAAACATGTCAAACCTTTATATTGCGTGTGCCCGCAAAATCACCAAAAACGACCGCACCCAAAATTGTCCATAGGTGACGCTTTAAACGCTTTTATTGCTCATCAGTTTAGTGTTATCAGTGATTGATAGCCCTACAATTATTACTCTCACTCCGACGTTCTCGGCGATATGTAACATGTGCAGCACAATAGGTGCAATTGTCATTTTCACACGTAGGCGCACCCAACGCATGTTTGCGTGTGTATGTGGGGGACGGGGGACTTTTTTTACAAAAAATGCATTTTTAAAAAAACAATTTATGCTTCTTTCATTTTTTATTACTCTTTTTTTTCCACTTAACTTTATTGCTATCACATAGGGGATAAGAAGTCCCCTATGTGATATCCAATTTACATGACAGGTCCTCTTTATGGAGACATAAGGGGTCTCCGAGACCCCTAATGTCACCAGGGGACCCCCAGAGAAGCTGATAAAGCAGATAACTGCTTCACAAGCTTCTCCCCAGCTTCTGAAGCTGGAGAGTGACAGCAGAATGCGGAAGTGATAATATACATTTATATATATAATATACATTTTTAGATTGTAAGCCCTCAGGGGCAGGGCCCTCCTTACCATCTTGTCTTGAATTGTATTGTGATTGTAATGCCTGCCCTATATTGTAAAGCGCTGCACAAACTGTTGGCGCTATATATATCCTGTATAATAATAATAATAATATACATCACTTCCTGCATTTGGGGACTGGAGAGGTGTTCAGAGGGAATTCAACTTTAAAAAAAAAGAAACTGAAAACAGTGTATGACATGATAAGCTGTAGCCTACCATACATGTTGTTTGATCAGGATCAGCTTCTAATGCACATTGTGAGAAGCTCACAGCGTGCAGTGAAGTCAGAGCAAGCGATTTCAGTCCAGGTGAGGTGCCTGTATGACTGTGCAAGACTGAGGCGAAGCGTGGAGTTCAGATTTAATAATATCTACTTGACGCTTATGACATAGCAAGTTACCGCAATGAAAACTGGCATGCCAAGCATTGTTCTCTATGTATCTGCAATTGTGTTTTAAATAAATGTTATCCTTTTATTAATAGGTAAGCCAATCAAAAGAAGGAATCCTAAATAAAACCAAGATAGCAGACAGAGGAAAGAAATTAAGGTAATGTGCATGTCCAATAAAATATTTTGTCACCAGTTAAGAAGAGTTTGGACTTTCTGTATCTTGTTATCAGCTAGGAGTGTTCTCATTTAGAACTGTTCCCAAAGGACAGAGTCCCTACTTCGGTTCTCTAACATACTGCCATCTGGTGGTTGTTGTATGAATTACAGAAACAGTGTTTTTAGGAAATATATATATATTTTTTTAAATACAAAGTTACAATAAGACATATCAATCAGCATATTATCAGATACAGTTAAAAAAGGTTCTGGGCAAATAAAATCCTAACCCTTTCAGTGAGGCTACTCTCGCACTGCAAGGGTTAAATGCTCGTTTTGGTCTAGGGAGCTAAAATAACGACTGAACCATGATCCTGGCTGGCAACTAGATTGGTCCCTAAGCCCCTCCGGTCCAGCGCTCTAAGGTCCAATGAGTTACTGCATTCTATAAAGTATATATGACATAAGGACATTAAGGGAGAGTTTATTGTTGGTGCTCATACTGTCTAGAGAGCTAAAATAACAGAGTTATACTTACCCGAACCACAATCCCAGCTGGTTGCTGGACTGGTCCTTCTAGCCTGTCTTCTCTGCTCCAACAATGGACTGTCCTTTGGCATCCTCACATCCTATATACTGTATAGGACGTAATGATTCACTGTACCTTAGACTGCTGGAGCAGACGGGGAACGAGGCTGGAGGGACCGGTCTAGAAGCCAGCTGGGATCCAGGTGAGTATAAATATAATTATTTTAGCTCCTAGACAAAATGAGGACTTAACCCTTGCAGTGCATTGCTAAGATAGTTTCCTTGTAGCATGTGGGTGTCTGGGTTAATGTCACTATGTAATATTAAAGTCACTCTGTGCTTTGGAATGTCAGTAACTATTTGCAATCTGCCAATAAATACCAGTGTCAGTAACTACTGACTCAACGCAGCACTGCAGAGTTCTAGTATAGAATTAAACATTTTTACACTGAAAGCTATCAATCCAGCGGATTTTATCTCCAGTTACTCAGCAGTGGCAGTATGCCAGTATGCAGTATAAAAACAAAATGTGACTTCTACATTGTTTCACTCTGCCCTGTAGCATAGTGATTTTATCTTAAGGTAACTGTTTTTTCCCATAGTTCTCTTTAGGGTCACGGGTGGACATATACTAACTTCCTCCTGTGACCCAAAGCTTGGTATATAATGAGCTATTGCCCACGATATACTGAGTGCGTCAAAGCCGGGACACATCCCGACAATACTGTCGTGATCCACCCAGCTGCGTGAGTGACAGCTGTCTCTGCCTATCTAGAGGCAGAGCCAGTTGTGCCAGCCTCCGCCCCCGTTCGTTCCTCCACTCAGAACTGGAGGATCGGAGAAGGGGGGGGGGGGAATCCCTGCGGGGAGCGGTGACTGATAGTCAGCGCTATTGCTCAGTTGCTTTCCTCAGCTCCAAGCCTCTCAGCACACCTCTGTGTGATACTCACACTGCTCACCCCTAGTGAGCACTCACAGTGCTCTCTCAGCAGTGTGTCCAACAGGTCCCTTGGGTCACCGACCTTCCCGACCTCTCCCAGCCTCCACTGGCTGTTACACATATGTCCAGCACACACAACTCCCCTGAGCTCTGGGCTGGCTTCTTAATGAGGCTGCTCTCAGCCACCTCATCAGCCCAGCCTGGTCATTGGCAACACCTGGCTCCAGGAATGGAGATTTCATCCCGCCCAGAGCTCTAAGAAATCTCCAGAGCTCCAGATCCCAGCTACATTTCTGAAAACCTGGAAGAATCTGAAAAGCCAGGTTCTTCCTTATAAAATGGTTCACATTCTGGACCCTCTCAGCCCCTCTGGCTGTGAGTCCTGGGTGCCATAGTTGCCAAACTACACTGTTGCATTGCAGTGCACTGCCACAATATATTTATACTGTATATATGTATATTTTGTGTGCTTAATCTATTGCAATAGGCTGCGGAAGCCTATGACCCCAGATGATTTTTCAGAACAAGGCTAAACTAATCCGGATCTCAAATTGTATGACACATTATTAAAGGATAAGAGAGGAACAGGAATTAGAGCCAGTTCTAAAGGAGCTAAGAGACTCTATCAAAGAGTACAAAACATAATCCACATGAGGTCACTAAGGATAACCCCCATCCTTCCAGATAGTTATTGTATATCTGAATAATGGCCTCTCTTGGCTCAATCACTGTCTGTTCCCAGGCACCAAACCACCCATGCCCATCCTCAGATCTTCTCTCTCCTCAGCCGTCCTCTCCAGGCCAACAGCAATAAAAAAGCTTTGACCTGACACATGCAATTCTGATGCCCCTTTAAAGGTCCTGTATATAATTCACTCCCCTCCACCCCATGCCAAACACACAGCATACACATGACAGCAGCCATATCTACAGTTTTTACCTTCATCCACAATACGTATATATAGAGTGGGCTTGGAGCTTACAAAAGACCTTCTTTCCCTGGTCCTTGTAGCTGAACGGGAGGGCAAAGGAAATTGCCACTTTAAGGTGGAGTCAACAAGATTCATCTGTGTAAATGTATGCCCCCACCACAGATCCCAATGAGGAGGTAGCTCACACCAAGCTTCTCATCTTCATAATTTTTCCGTGTATGTAAAACAGTCAGAGGCACAGAAAACCAACAATCAGAACATTTCTTTATTCTTTTGAAAAATCCCAAACATGTTTTTTCCTTGTAATGTGGTCAGGTTATATTAGCAGAATAAATAAATAAATAAATAAATGTGGCCCTCAGTTTAATCATGAATTCAAATATAGAGGGGCATTGTTTTCAAAACAGCTAATGTGACATTCACCAAACATTCACTGGACGTGGATCGATCATTGTAATTTAAAACAATTTCCCCAGGAAGATACACCCACATTAAAAGGGTTATTCACAAAGGTGCCAAAGGATCCAGCCGTAGCTTCAGCTGATCCTTTGGCTCGCTTCGGTTGCGGGAGCCCTTCGGTTCATTTGAACCGAAGGGATGCTGTACGGGCTACTCACTATAGCCCGTACAGCAGCCGAAGGCACCCGAACAGGCAGCCGAATGGAGCCGAGCCGAAGCAATAGGCGTTTAGCCAGCCGAAGTGAAGTGCATGGGGCAACCGAAGGCATTCGAAGTGAAGAGAAAAACTAACCGAATGCAACCGAACAACCAACCAAAGGCAGCCGAAGCCAGGCGATCTACGGCTAATTTCAGGCGATGTACGACTGAAATCAGCCGTACTGAGCTAAAGTGAATAGCTGAACAGTGTTCGGCTCTGTTCATTTTGGCTTGTTTTTTTCACTGGGCTGCCTTTGGCAGCTTTGTGAATAACCCTTTTAATGTTTGGTGAATGTCACATACACTGTTTCATAAGTATCCCTATCCTGTTTCCGTAGCAAACTAAGGTATTTCATAAATAACAATAGCATTGACTAAAGTGTCTGGAAATGTTTAATGCAATTTTTTTTTTTTTTTTACAGGCTAGGAAAAATGTTTCTTTAATGTATTTTTACAAGCTGAAAAAAGGTTACTTTGTACCAAGGTCTTAAGGAAATGACCAATAATGTCTGACTCTTGGGGATTTGTGAATTTTTTTTTTTCATTCTACATGTGGATAATATAAATACATTTACTGCTCCCTATTTGAAATACGCTTTCCGCATACAAGATGGACAATGTACCTTGAGACTGATCTATCAAAGGTTGTATTTAACAGACACAAAAAGAGTCCATATTTGCATAATGTTTGCATAATGACTCAATTTCACAATATTAGATGCAATGACATAATATTTTTGATATCATAATGCTGGGTCATAAATTGACTCGGTGTCATTATGCTAACTAATGCAAATTGTGTCATTTTTGTTCTATATTTGTTTCCGAGCCGGGCGCGCGATGGGATGACCCTCATTACAGAGGGCAGTAAGATAAAATACCTGAAATAAATGGTTTCATAAGACCACTAAGGGGTGAAATAATCATGAATTTGAGCCTGAACACATTATTTGAATCTGTGTATACGCTTGGTGTGCTTTCAGTCAAATAGAGTTACTGATAATTATGATATACTTAGATAATCTCATAATAGAGTGAAGGAAACTTTTTAAGGGTATGTATAAGTGATGGATAGCTTAAAATAAACATTAGCCCCCAGATTCAATAACAATTTGCAAGACATTATCTGTAGCTTAATACCCAAAGACGTGTCTGCTTATACTTAAAGTCCTACTCTGGGCAAAAGACAAAAAAAAACCTCTTATAGTGGAGACCCTCCCACCCCCCAGGCTGCAAGTCTTAAATGTTTATTAGGTCTAAGAGGTACAAGAAAAGGATATATAACTTACCTTACCCTGGCAGGTCCCAGTGCTCTGCTCTTCTCCCAGGATTGTGGGTCATCATCACCTACAATGCAGGGCTATAAGCTGTGGAGGAGGCAATTGTGTGATCACGTCCAGGAGCACTTTAGAGAGGAGACTTTGCATTGATAAAGGGTTCCTAATGAAGCCAGGGGTAAGTTAAGTATAACTCCTTATGACTGCCACCTAGACTTAACAAGCATCTAACCTTTGCAAAGCAGGGGCCAGATCTGGGCTTTAACAAATGGCCATAACTCTGGACTTAAGCTGCAGGTGGGAAGTGTCTACAGCCCTTGTACCCAACCTGTTGCCTGAGGGTAGCATGTGGCCTTTTGTTACTTACTGTAGTCAATACTTTTTCCCAGGTTTTTTTGGTAAAATTAGGTACCTCGGCTTATATTCGGGACGGCTTATACTCGAGTATATACGGTACACAACATCACCTTACAATTCATGCAGGGCTTTGCACAACACACCTGCTGGGTGTGTACACTCTACAAAGGTGTTTAGATTCCACCAATAGATCATGCTGGGAGGGAACACACTACAGAGGTGTATACATGTTCGTGGCGTGTTTATAAGGTTAGTAAATCAACCCCTTGGGCTCCAGCAGGTAATAGTCACTGTTCTGCTTGCCTATGTGGTTACTCAGGGACAGTGAAGATGTGCAGCAAAATATTAATTCAACCGGTTTCTACTGGTTAAATGATTCGGTTAATTCCTTCCACACTTATATTTCCTGTCCATTTTTTCTCTTATTGAGTATCTTTTTTTTCTGACCCTCACAGTGTCATCAGTTGCTAAGATGCTAGTGTCCCAACAGCATCAGTGGTTGTTGTGTTGCACATACCTGCATCCTAGCAAATGGTTAGGATGGGGCTTTGCCACCAGTCAACCAATAAAGCTGTGTAAGCCATTCAGCAAACTTCAAGCATCTTGGGTCCAACTCTTGGTCCACCTAAACCCAAAGCTCATCCCTACCCACAATCTATGACCATTCACTGTAGTATGTGTGGTCTTTGACCATTTTCTTTAGTGTTACATACACTGAACATTATATGCAATCCTTTGGTAATGTCAGGTGCTCTAATCAAAGCCCCTTATGTCAAGTAAGTTGACCACCACTGGTCTACAGAGATGGAATTACTAGTATGATGTTAGAGACACTCACACTTCATGCACCACTACATTTCCATGCTTAGGGAACGGCAAGCTTGATTGTAAACAAACTGGTAAACGGGTCCTTTGGATCCCCTTTCAGTTTACCTGTGCACTATAAGCTTCCTTCTTCACTCACCCATCTCTGGTTAGCAGATGACCTAAGCAGTGGAGATTCCTTGCTTCTTTGGTTGATAGCACAAAATCCAGTTATAATGCATTTATATACTGTAGATGCTTATTGTTATTGACCCAGCAAAACACCCTTTACTAATGTGTTTCACAGGCTATAGAACCATGAATGGATGACACCCTGCAAACTGAATCATAGAGACATTGTTAACCTATTCACTTTCTTGGATATCATTTTAGGTTTTTAGAGACCTGTAGTGCTCGGACTGTTTAGCACCACTAGCATCAATGCAGATCAGTCTGTTTTATGTTCATAGACAAAGTTTGCTGACCTTCAAAGAGTTATGCTCATTTGGAGTGAATGCCCATCATTTGGAACCAAACCTCTTTGTCCGCCTTTCTTCCTTAGTTTACCTTCTTTTTGGTCATATGTACAGATTTCTATAAAACATGTATTATTTACCTATAAATGTGTTTTACTGCACTAAACCTTTTATCTAACCCTTGACATTATTCAACTTGTTATTTGTAAAGTCAAAATTACGGAGGACTGATGAAAATAGCAATTTTTGGTTAAACCAATAATTTTTGTGGGTTTATCCTCACTTTACTGGAGGCATAGCAGGGGCATACTGATGAAAATAGCAATTGTTGGGTAAACCAATCATTTTTGTGGGTTTATCCTCACTTTACTGGAGGCATAGCAGGGGCATACTCTTTGCCTACATACTTTGTGCACTAATGCATCCTTCTTTTCCATCTCAGAAAGTTGGCAGGTCTTGTATTACCACAATGTAAATGAGTTTAGCAACCCCTACATACCTAAAGTCCTTCTGATAAATCCCAATATAGCCACCACAGGAGTCCAAGCCGGGACCTAATTGAGACTACACATGGGGATGCTAAGTTTACATTAACAGACAAGCTGGCAAATTTTGTTTTAACTGCCATTCTCCATAAAATGCCGGGGCCTTGAAAATGCATGGTTTTAATCTAGTCAGTAAACTGTTATTCTAATCAGAAACAAATGAAAGGACACATAATTAACAAACAAAAACTTTGCTAAGGGATATCATTACACATAGTGGAAACTATCTATCTAAACACAATTTTAACATGCCCTTGATTCCGAACAGCAGATTGTTTGTTTTGTTTCAATAGTCTTTATTTTATTTCCCCTAAGGAATCATCTTTCACCTTTTCTCCTGTTGTCAGAATTCATTATATCGTCTGTTGATGTTTTTTCTTCGTCCTATCCTTGTATTCATAAGATATCGTTATTTCTATTAATCCCTCTTATGAAGAACAGTCTGTCCTCAGTCCTGCCATGTTTAAAGAGACCTAATCACCCAAATATGGATACTCTGTTGTGTGTTAATGACCATGGAATGCACTTAAGAGGATCTGTCACAATGCCTGTATGAGAAGGCTCTGAAGGAATCAGCCATTGCCTATGCTGCTTTCTAGCTTTGGGGTTGTGAAGTTAAAGTGACACTAAACTCAGAAGTTAAATATAAAAATTGCATTTAATTACCTTAACTATTAACAAAAATGTATCCTAATTGTGTATCACTCAGCTGTAGATCCTCAATTCATCTCTGAATTGGTGCCGACACTGACCTTCCTTCTGGAGGGTGGCTACTTTTCTTCCCCATGGTCCATGTGTGTGTTGTAAAGTGGTCACCGCTCCAAGCTCACTCCCGTGATGGACTACAATCTCACATGTAGTTTACTAATTTGTATTGAGATTGTAGTCTATCACAGGAGCAAGCTTGGAGAGGTGACTACTTTATAACACACCAGGGACTGTAGCTGCTATGCTGAGTGACTTCATTGTGCTATTAAAACACAGAGAGTCCCTCCATTCAGAAGACACCTAGTATTTTTCTCAATGAACACCAGGCGTTGTCTGATTGGACACAGGCCACAGACCACCGGCATGACTTCCAGAGGCAGAGGCATGATGAGATGTGTACTTTTAACACAGCTGGGGTGCCAAAGTTTGGCTACCCCTGCTTTAAAGTAAATGGTAGTATCTGGTTTCCCTGGCTCTTGCATCTGTTGTGTTTGGCACATGTTGCTTATTGCATTGTTAGCAATGTACACTGAGCTTAGTGGCCCGGATAATGTTAGATTATATTATTCGGATTTAGAAACATAGTTTTGGTATTAAGCTATGACTGTATGAATCACTATAAACCAGTGATCTCAAATCCAAGTCTTTACAAAACGAGTTGCAAACTTAGTGGAAGCCGTGGAAGAACCACATAGTATTCTAATGCTCATAGTTTCCCTCAGAAATGTTCTGTAGTAATGAATTTATTCTATGGCCAAAGAATGAATCCCTTGTGAGATTATCTTGCAGTTTGCTAGTGTGATTTTAGCACCATGGACAGCAATATATTCTATTGATTGAGTAACCTGGAGTACACATGTATGAACTGTAGGTTCTCCTGAAAGGAGATAACCATATCAATTCCTACACTTGCATCATATGTACGACCTGCTGTTGTAATGTTTTGCACCTTCCATAGAGTCATGAAAAAGAGAGGGGGTGGGCAGGGCCAACAGGAGGAGGTAGTTATCATCGGTCAGTATAGGCAATGGCAAACCACTGTGCTTCTCTTTGATATTAAAGTAAACCTGCTTTATATGAAGATATAGGGGCTGCCATTGGTGACCCCCCTACAAAAATGCTAGAGGATTGGCTGAGATTCTGACCCACTGGCTTTAGGGCTTGTTCACACCAGAATCCTCACTCAACCGCACAGCTGCTGGTATGTGTGTGTCTGAACAGTGCCAATGCGCTTGATCGAGCCAGAGTGCATTGCTTCTTTTTTGTCGTTGTTGTTCTAAGAACTGTATTGTAATGTTACAAGTGACATTACATTCTATGGGCACACTGCATGCAGTACTTTGTTTAAGTGGCCACCACTGCAATGCTGTGGTGTGAACTATGCCGACCCATGGCAAGACAAATTGCCTTGTCTTGCATTTGGGCTATGCTGGAAAAAGCGGCCAGCACAGTCCAAAAGCATATGGTGTGAAAGGGCACTAATCCTTTCTGAGTCACTGACTTGGTACAATCATATGGAAGTCATAATTGTTTATATGCATACTTGTGAAACATCTGTGGCTTCAAGTATTGAGGCACTATTGTCCCCAGTTCAGATCCCAGCCAGGACCCTCTCTGCATTGAGTTTGCATGTTCTCCCTGTGCTTACATATGTTTCATCCATAGACATGCCAATAGGTTAATTGGCTCCTAGTATGTTAGTTTATGCATGTGAGATAGGCACCTAAGACTGTAAGCTCCTTGAGGCCAGGGATTGATATGAATGTACAGTATGTAAAGCACTGCACAAATTATCAGGGCACTATGACAGTCAGGCAGCTGGCATTTAAATAATTGAACTTAGCATGACAGTCTCCATGTTTTGTCTCATGACTGGTTTGCATATAACTATTTTATTACTAAAACGTTTACATTGAAATGCGTGCATATTACTAAATACTTGTAAATGTGGCCGTGGCAAAATACTCAAATGCTTGTTAGGTGCATTCATAAACAAGTAATGTACCACAAGAAGCCAGCAAGTACTGTTTAAGCAAATATATCCTGACATGTTGTACATTTCTCTCATGTGCTTTTATTCTGTAGCTACTTAGATAGGCCATACCAACAGAATAATGTGTGCCAGCCAGAACAATTCTAGGAGTGAATAAGGAAAATAAATGTTTCTGGCAGGCAAATGGTATTCTAGCTCTTACCATGTAACAACAGTGAATTTTCCTGAAGCACATTAAAAGAAAACTATGCATTCAATGAACAGGGTTATATGATCCAATTCAGGAGCTTCTTTACGATATTCCTCCATGTGTCAATAGCAGATTCTTGGTGCAGCCTCTGATTTATGTAATCATTACGGAATATAGCATCACCTGCCCAAGGGCTAATATGATTTGGGCCAATGATGGTCAGAAATGGAGAAAATTGTAGAAATGTTGATACTGTAACAAGTGCAGTGAGGTGATATAATCTTCTATATACTAAAATAGTTTTCAGATTTTCCTACGCTACTTCCTACCTCTGAAAGCACTTCACGCAAACATTTTACACTTATGTTTCCTATTTAGGAAAAACTGGGTCCTGTCCTATGTTGTGCTTTCTGAGCAGAGACTTGAATTCTTCAAGGATGCCAAAGACCTGACACCAAGCTTGGTGAGTACCCTGCGCAAGCTTCACAGTTACCAACCCAACAGGCTATATGTTAGTCACATGAGGGCTTCACTAAGTCTTTAAATAGAACCTGTAACACAACAGTATGAAACACCATCTGCATAATATTTACAGTGTCATTTTAAAGGGCTGGCCTTCATTCCCTGTGTGCAGCAATGAGCCTTGGCCACCCATGACCCAATCTAAAACAACCTCTGTTCACACTTTTAGGTTCGGTGATATCAAACCGTGATTGGTTTTTTTTAAGATGTCCATGCAAGGGGCGTCATTTAATCTTCATAGACCTTCCAAATATCTTCTTGTTAGAACTAAACCTAACCCAACACACTATGCGAGTGCCTTTAAGGATCCTTCACCCAAACCTAATATTACAGTTTTGATTATATTCTAGCAGGTTGAATACACCTCTGGACTCCTACACTTCGTAGAGACTCTATTAATCATTGTAATCATGTTTTAATACTTTATTCATTTAGTGCAGATTGCGGTAAGAGGAATCAGACTCATTGGCAAAGGTGATAGCACTAGGTCCACCAAAGAGATGTCTTCACCAGGGCATATGCTAAGGCAGTGTATTGCTCATTCTATCAGCATCCATTTTAAATCAACATTTGTGTGAACTGGCCCTTTAACATAAAATCTCTCTATAAAACTGCCTTCACAAAGTATCTCTTTAGATTATATCAGTTGTAGCTGATGCAATTCCTAGCCTCAACATCAACTGCAAAATCCACTTTGTACTTTTTTTTTTCTCTTTCTGCCGGAGGTAAGGCTATTGATCATCACTTTCCGAGATGTGACGAGTAAGTTGTTCAGACAAATCTACCATGTACTCTCATAGCCTTAAATATAATGCTGTTAAAGTATACAAACCTCTGCGTGGCAGAAAAGGGAGAGCCAGTCAGTGAGAGGATGATAACGTAGCAAGAACGGAGACGCTTGTGACAGAGCCCTATTGTGAAGGCTACCCAAGGCTGGATGAGACCTGCCATACCTTATTGGCATGACGGCTGCCCGGGAAGGTGGTTTTACAAGCCGAAGTCACTTAGAATAAGCCATGTCCTCTTTTGGCAGGTGACAAAGATCACTTTAGTCCCTGCTGCCAAGAGTATCTGTCATATCAGATCTCTTTCTAATAAAGGAAGAAAAGATGAAAAACAAAGCAGAAAATGATATTTTGTTATTTGTTACTGACACGAAAAGGGGGAGAGGAGGCCACGTTGTCAGAGCGGAGCTTCTGTTAAAATGAACATCAGCGAAGCCCTTGCTGCTTCTCTGAACTCAACACAGAAGTTGCTTTGCAAGCAAATTGGAAAGGTTTAAAATGTTACAGCTGTTATATTTTGTAGGTCACTTAGAAGTTAGTGTAGAGTGCACATTACTAGAGGCAGAGGTGTAGGAGGAGGGTCAACAATTCCTGCCTATTCACACCATTTCAGGTTTCACCTTTAGCACGGTTACCGGTTAAGTTTGATATTGCAGGTCAATCATTTCAAGGAAAGAACAATGTATATTTACTCAAAACTTTGACAGAAAAAGGATAACCAATGGGAGGAAGATATTATGACAACAGAAAAAATACTTGTACCAGAGTCCTACTGTAAGGGCTACCCAAGGCTGCATGACTACCCAAGGCTGGATGGAACTTCTTCCCTTATATGGTCCTAGGATTAGATATATTTTATCATGTTATGCACAAAAAAGTAATGGAATTTGTAATTAAACCAAGTGTGAGCTTGTAAGCATAATAAGTGCAAATGTTCCTTATTAAAGTGACACTAATCTCAGGAGTTAAATCTTAAAAATGCATTTAAGTACCAGATTAACAAAAACGTATCCTAATTGTGTATCACTCGGCTGTAGATCCTCAAATCACCTCTGAATTGGTGCTGACACTGTCCTTCCTTCTGGAGGGTGGCTACTTTTGTTCCCCATGGTCCCTGTGTGTGTTGTAAAGTTGCCAACGCCCCAAGCTCACTCCACTGATGGACTACAATCTCAATACAAATTAGTAAACTAAATGAGAGATTGTAATCCATCACAGGAGTGAGCGTGGAGCGTTAGCTACTTTATAACACACAGGGACCATGGGGAACAAAAGTAGCCACCAAATAATGTATGGTATTTTCATGTGCACCAACCTGTTTGCTTAATCCATGAACCTTGCCTAGCACTAACCTTCAATTAGCTCAAATGCTGTCAGTTAAGGGACCACTCTCATATGTTGTGCAGCTAAGCTGGTGACTGCCACACCTCCTCCTATTACAGGGGGAGATGGGTGTATGTCTCTTGATGATGTTATCCATGGGTGTTACTTGGAGTGGCATACTGGAGGATAGCACCCATCCAGTAACATTCTTAGGATTGATGACATCCCTACCACCGCTATCACCACTTAGCTCCATGCTCCAAATGTAGTGTCAGCGCTAACAATACCAGCATATGTAGTTTGAGGATGGCTAGTTACGACAGAATGGTCTCTGCCATACTATAGCTTTCAGTTCTCTCTCACAAAACTGCCTCTTTTGTATTACAGGGAGATTGTTGATCCGGGGAATATCCGATTGCCTTTTGGGACCAGGAAGGATTTTTTCCCCCTGTTGGAGCAAATTGAACCATGCTTTATAGGGGTTTTTTGCCTTCCTCTGGATCAACAGGGGGTAATTGTGGGCATATTGTTCTGTTTAGGCTTTTTTTTTTCATATCTTTATAGGTTGAACACGATGGCCATGTGTCTTTTTTCAACCTGACTAACTATGTAACTATGTAACATAGAAGGCATAAAGCATGGCAGGGTTCAGTCTCCTAAAACCAGTTTTAAAGGGTGTTTCACATGCATCCCATGCTGGGATTACATAATCTTAATTTCCTATTATTACCTGTCCAGTAAGTTCGTGCATCATTGCCGCCATACAAACCCTGATGAAGAGGGATCTGTGAGTCCCTGAAATGTGCTGAATTTTTACCTTTACCATCAAATAAAAACCCATACTGGACTGAACTCATCATTGCAGCCCTGTCATTTTTCCAATACTCAACAAATGTTTTCTGGGACTCCTTGGGATGCCCTTGTCAACAGAAGGCTGCCACTAAATTTCCTATTTTCGCACAATTAAGTTCCTCTAATGCTCCTACGGTACATATCTATTTGTAAAACCAAATTTAAGGCATTCAGATTAATAGAAATTAGCAAAGCAAAATCTCAATTTGAAGATTTTTTAATTGGGCCCAAAGTTCAGAATTATTTTATGTGTATTACATAACAGATACGTCTAAGTTTGTGTGTTTTTTTGAATCTTAATTAGAACCTAAGATAAAAAATGTGTGTGCTTTAATGTTATAGACTTGATGTACTTTTACATGAACTGCCCTATAGTCAATAATTTACATTCATCAAATTTAGAATTTTCTTCAGGTAACTTTATCAGCACTAACACAACTGTAGCCACTGCTTGTTAGGAAATCTGGGCATTTTTGCTCAATGCATGATAAATAAAGATGAGGTCATTTTATTAAACTTGAGCATTGTCATTTCTCCTGAAAAACATTTATTTAAGTAATTCTGTCTCATCTAATGTCTCTTGGTCGAAGCTACTGTGTATAGTAGGAACTGAACAATGATAATTTAACAATGGTACAAAATTAAAGCTTCATTAGAGATTGTGTATGAGATATTTATGGATAAACAGATTTATTCTTCCCCCAGTATAGAATCATAGTAAAATAAAAGCATACATACATGTTTTGTTGTAAATTATGTTTGGACAGTGATTTCCTTGTTAAATACTTCCACATTCTGCTTTCTTCCAATAAGGCTTTTTTTTAATGCAGTTTTATTTTAAAGTAAATTTTGTGCTGAATTTAATATACTTATAAGAAAAGGGCAAAAGAAGATCACTGCCATCAGGGACTGGGACTGATTAAAGAAAACTTTAGTAAAATATAAAAAAACAGTAAAGCTTGCTACACAATGTGGATCCATATGATACTGAATGTGCACTATAAAATGTCTAACTCTGTACGTTGTAATGCTTGTGAAAATTAATTTAAAAAAATCTCATTTAAAAAAACTTAGTAAAATAGTTTTCAGAGCTGGTTTTCACTGCAGAGCACATTTACTGCAGGGTAAATGTGTGTTTTCGCTCTAATACTAACCCTCACACTTACCCTGACACTAACCCTCAGGCAAACCCTCCAAGTAACGGTAACACTAACCTTCTTCACACCCTAACACTAACCCCCACACTAACTCTAGCATTAACCCTTATGAAAACCTACCTAGTAACCCTAACACTAACCTTCCTGCACCCTAACACTAACCCTCACACTTACCTAACACTATCCCTGATGCCAGCCCTTCAAGTGCCCCTAACACTCCTTATAGCCATCACATTAACCTTTACACTAGCCCTCCCAGCATTGCCAACTCTCACACTAACCTATAAACTAATACAACCTGTAACCCTAATACTAACTCCAACACTAACTTTCATGCTCATACTCCCTTTAGCACTAACCTTCCCTATAATCCTAAAACTAATTATCACACTAACCCTTTCTGTAATCCTAAAATTAATATCGGTACTAACCCTCCCTGTATCACAAATACTAACCTTCCCTGTAATCCTTCACACTAACATTCACACTAACCCTAGCTTTAAATACAACCCTCACACTAAACCTTAGTGTAACTCTAACACTAAACCTTAGATTAGCCCTCTCTTTAATCTTAACAATAAACCTCACACTAACCCTCCCAGAAACACTAACACTAATCCTTGCACTAACCCTGCCTGCAACCCTAAAGCTAACCCTCCCAGCCACCTGGATACTAACCTTCACACTAAGCCCCCCTGTAACCCTAAGACTAATCTCTACACTAACACTGTCAGTACACGTAACATTAGCCTTAAACTAACACTGATACTAACACCCACTTTTACACTAACCCTTCCTATAACCCCAACACTTACCCTTACACTAACCTTCCTTGTAGCCCTAAATACTAGACAGCTTATAATACATACCCTCTAGTTACCCAGAGCCAACAACCAACATTGAACAATTGCATATCCCCTCCAATACCACACACAGTACAGTATTTATATATGATTTTATTTGTCACTTGTTTTTGTTTGTTTTTGTAATTGTTTTTAATTGTGTGTAAAGTCAACACTTAAGTAAAGCAACTATTGATTTATTGTTTTTAGAAATCAGGCACTAAGTCAGAGTGTGTAGACCTTTGTGGGGCAGTTATTGAGTGGACAAGTGAGAAATCTAGTCGTAAGAATGTGTTTCAGGTAAGTTAAAACTTTTTTCGATTTTTTTGGATTTTTTTTTATATACATGATTACAAGACACCCCTTGACATTTTATTAGTCCCACATGAAACTGAAATTGGTTTACTCCGAATATGTGGAAAATCTGCTGCTGCAGGTACTGGCAATATTGCTTTTCATGCTTTTTTTGTACTCCAGGTAGTGATTGTAACTTAATTCCTTAATGTTTTAGTATGTTTTCTTCTGTTTTGGAGAGGAGGCCTTAAATCCTATTCGACATAGTGTCATTACATACACGGCAAAGAGACGTAAAATACTCTGATCATACCGACACATGTTTTCTCAAATGTTCTCCATCTGTTTACAAAACTGGTTGATTGCTCCTCGCTGTGTATGCCCATCCCTTACTATGATATGGTACCCTCTTGTTTTATTGTTGTACGCTTTAGTTATGTTATGGATTCATTGAAAATCCAATAAACAATACATGCTTAAAAAAAAAAAAACAACTATTTTTCATCATCTGGTTTAAATCTGTGCGCTCGTGTTGTAGTAACCCAATCTTCAGAGTATCAGTTCTGTTAATCTCTTCAGCCTCTGTGATATTTTATGAGATAGTTCTGTGCTGGATGTGTTATTGGTGCATGGTATTGTAGGGACCTATCCCCTGCCTTTATTTAGAAACTTTGATTTTTACTTGGGAACCATGGCAAGGTGCTAGGTGTAATCCTGGACTCTAACCTTGCCTTTCAGCCCCACAACCAATCACTATCCAAATACTGCCTCATTCATCTTCAAACCATGCCCCTTCCTAAACAATGAAGCCACAACGCTACTGATCCACTCACTTTTTATCCCTTCTCTCCACTATTGCAACTCCCTCCTCACTGACCCACCTCTACACAGGCTATCCCCCTTCAGTCTATCATGAATGCTGCTGCCAGACTTATCCACCTCCCCAATCACTCAGTGTCTGCAACCCCCCTCTGCCAATCCCTGCACTGGCTCCCAATCACCCAAACAATACAATTCAAAATATTACCAACTACTTACAAAAAAATCCATAACTCTGCCCCAGCTATATCTCCAATGTTGTCTCAAACTATCACCCTAACCGTCCTCTCCATTGCTCCCAAGACCTCCTTCTCTCTAGCAGATTCCTTCTCGGTTTGCTTGGGGTACTACAACTCAAACCTTTCTGGCAGTACATATAGGCCTTTATCTCTTTGGAAACAGTGGATATTAGAAACTGTTTTCAACAAGTCACTGCACCAAAGAACCCACCAATTATGCAAATGCAATCAACACATGGTTGTGACTAACAGATTATGTGGATTGGAACAACATTCATCATATTTATTCTCAGAGAATTCTTGTACAAGTAATTCTGAATTAAGAAAGCTGCTTGGATGACTAGTGAAACGTCTTCAAGAAAAATACAGCAAGTCCAGTTACCTTGACTTATTTTTTACAGACCACCTTACAATTGCCTTCCCCACTGACTGAATTCAAAATTCCCAGGTTCATTTATCCCTAATATAAAATGCCTAATACAAAATTCCCCATTTTTGCACGTTTTGATCTGTCTCTCCCACCTGTAGCTCCCCAAAGAATTATAAATTATGTTTCTTGCAAAGAGCAAAAGCACTCATTATAACCCATCAGCTCTCATTTTTCTCTGTTGACAACAGACAGAGCAATGAAATATGACTCCTTCTTGGTTTCCTTGGGTTACTGCAACCCAAACCAAAACTAGAACAAAAATAGGCCTTCATCTTAGCGGTCCTCCTGAAATGGTGAATATTAGAACCTGTTTTCAGCAAGTCAACTTTTAATAATTTTTTTAAGCAAGGAGCTAATTGGTGCCCATTTACAGTAATTAAATAATACATGGCTTTGTTTTGGCACTCTCTGCATTATTTGCTATTATATCATTATTATAGTATATTTTAATTTGTAAAGTAATAAAAAAAAAAGCTATTACAGTTACCTAGCTCAATAAGATCAATGAAGAATGTGGTGTCCTTTGCTTGCGTTTGGTCAAGACTTTCGCGCCTGCAGCTGAATACAGCAGTAAAGCATTGTGTTATTTTTATTTATTTATTTTTTATATTCTTATTTATTTATTTACTTATTTTGTTTCATTACCTACAAAGTAATAAAAGGCCACACAGTGAAACGAGCTAATAATTAGCCTTGCTGATGTGTTCTCTTATAAATGTCAGTAAAGATTCCGTTGTTGAAATTAGCCCTGAGTTTTCAATTTAAGACTATGAATAATTGATTATATATGGAAAATGACCACTGAATGATTTGGATAAGGAGGGAATCGGTGAAACGAAATTATACCTGTTAGCGATGTTTACATTTAAAATCCATTATATCGCAGAGGAGATATTAATTATAGGGGCATAATGAGACAGAGTGCAGGTGCATTTGCATCCAAATGTATTACGTTGTTGCGGCGTGGGCTTAATAATATAGAGGATCTATTGCTTATTATTTTCTGTTAAATTAGCACCGGAGCACAAATGCTAAGGTGAAGCAGGGAATGTTGGGTACAACATATTGAGAAATAGACAAAGGGAACAATTACTTCCCTTTAAAGGCAATTACGAGTCTGTTTTCTCACGTCAAGTAAGGTTAGGAGCTTCCATCATGGCCTTGGCGAACAGACGACGATTTATGGAACGATTGCGGGCTTGAAGCTTTTTTTTTGTGCTAAGTGCACTTTGGTGTTTAGACTGAAATTTAAGGGGTTGAGGATTAAAAGGATTACAGCATAATCTTAAATAATCCAGGCTGTCATTTACATGGAAATGGTGGTAATAACAACGTAACTTATCGTGTCGCTCAGCAGATTACATTGTTGTTATACTGTGATTACATCTTCTGAGGAGGATTTAAAAGGGAACTCCTGGATTTTTTCAATTTTTATATTTATAACCGTGGAATGGTAATTTGTTAATTCGATTGATCTTATTTCAGGTATACTATGGTGTATTTTCAATAAACAGTTTAGGTTAGGATGGTTAGGGATGAGCTCTGGTTTGGTCCTAACTTGGTCTAAACCTGAGCTCCTCTGAACCCAGAAGGAAGCTCGTTACATGCCGCCCAATCACCTGTGGGTGGGACAGTCCCTTGACGTAAGCAAAGGGGCGGCATACAGTGATGTCATTGACCTTATATGACCTTAGAGATGAGTTTAGGTTTGAAATGAACCCAGTCTAAACCTGAGTTCCTCCGAGCCTAGAAATATCCCCTGTTGAACTTCTCCGCCCAAACATGGAAAGAAGCTCCTTACATGCTGACCATTCACCTGTGGGGAAATTCCCTTGACATAAGCAAAGGGGCGGGATGCAGTGACGTCATTGACCTAATATGACTTTAGTGATGAGATCAGGTTTAGACTGAACCCAGAAGGAGCTTCTCCTGCACTTCTCCTCCCAAGCATGGAAGGAAGTTTTACGTGCCTTCCAATCACCCATGGGAGGGGAATCTCCTTGAAGTAAGCAAAGAGGCGGCATGCAGTGATATCATTGACCTCATATGTCCTTAGGGATGATCTCAGGTTTGGACTGAGCTCCTCTGAACCCCGAAGAAGCTCCTCCCGAACTTCTCCCAAACACGTGCCTTCCAATCATCTATGGGCAGGAAATCCCCTTGAAGTAAGCAAATGGGTGGTATGCAGTGACATCATTGACTTTACATGGCTGCATATCTATATTTGATAAATTCTGATTAACTAATATGTCTATGTGTCCATTTAAGGTAAATTACATCAACACAAGCATTCCATACTTTTGTGCTTCTTTTGTTCCCCATGGTCAGTGTATGTTGTCAAGTAGCCACCACTCCAAGATCGCTTGCATGATGGACTAAAACTCATTACAAATTAGTAAACTAAACATGAGATTGTAGTCCATCCCGGGAGCGAGCTTGGAGCGGTGACTACTTTACAACACACACAGGGACCATGGGAAACAAAAGTAGCCACCCTCAAGAAGGAAGGACCGTGTCAGCACCAATTCAGAGATGATTTGAGGATCTACACCCGAGTGACACACAAATAAGCTACATTTATGTTAACAGTTAAGGTACTTGAATGCATTTTTAGGATGTTCTACTGCATTCAGTGTCGCTATAAGAACTGTCAACTATGAGTGTTGCATACAGCAACAATTAAAATGCTTCATCTTTCCTGACAGCAGAAAGTTTGAATCTAATTGGTTTCAGTAGGCAAAGCAGACGGTCTTACTGAAGTTCTAAAGTTTGCAGGCACATTGATTATGAACTGCAGAATAGAATTAATAGAAAAACTAAAATATTTCAGAGTTCAGTCTTCTGTAGTTTAAAGAACCGAAGACAAAATGAAGACAGAAATCTAGCAGCCTTCACTCTAATAAAGTCATCGAAGCAGCTTTAAATGGATTATCATGAAAAAATTCTAGATGCTCAATATTTTCTGCTCCCTAAACCTCATAAAAGCCTCTGCTGCACCAATTTCCTTGCAGATTTCTTTTTGTCATGACTTCCTCCGTGGTCCTGTCTCAGCTGTTTGCCTTCTCTGAATTCAATACGTCTGACAAGTCACCAGGGAAGATTCCTGCATTGTATCTGACCTTATTGTATGTTTGGCCTCTGGAAAGAAAGCGCTCAAGGTCCTACAACAAATGATCTTGGCATAATCAACTGATACCTTGCAGGGAAATATTTGTTGTTTCAGTGTCGGATGAATTTACACATCAAATTAACTGACATGAAACAAAGCTCTACTTTTTCCTGCAGTTTAGAGAAAAATTACATGTTGTAATGATAGCAGCCTTGATTTTGCTGTCTCTTGAGGCTGGAGCGCCTCAATTGAGATTTTTGTCCAGGTAGCAAGAGTCCACACAATTTACATTAGCAGAATAGAACATATGCAAGCAGTGTTTCCATTAAAAAAATGTAATTTATCGTAGACTATCCAGCACTTACTACACAGTTTCTGTCCTTTTCTGACATTGGACCCTCTATTCAGT